ATTTGGAGTAGTTTCGCAGTGTGTCACACCCCCGGGTCATACCACCGACTATAATATCTGATGTTTCGGGGCCTTCTGGTGCTAGCCCGTCTACCGAGCCACCACCACCAACTCCACACCTGCAGGAGATCAGGACATTCGACTCCAGTTTATTGCAGTTCATGTTGACAGTCTCATGGGTTTGGTAAACCCAGATGGTGAGATCTATAGAGGTTTAGCTAGGTTAGCCGACGTAGCCCGTGGAGGGCCTATGTAGATCTCATATTTTGGTTGTATAATATATATATATTTTGTGATAAGCAAACATCTTATTTATTACATAATTTTTTGGTGAAACCTTAGAACAGTACAACAAACATAAACCAAAAATAACTAAACAAGAAAACCTAGACAATTTCGGATGATTCAGAGCGTTTCAGACACTTCATTATGTCATCGATAGATCTTCGGATCTGCGCATCCAAATCGATCGGACATTTAGTTATCCTATGGCTAAATGATTTCCACATGGCCTTCACATCTTCATCATTCTTCAACTCGACTAGGTTGTATTTCACTCTTCCATTTGTATCAATCCAATCCTCCTGAAACTCTACCTCTGTCACCCTTCTGTTATCAGAATCAGGCAGTAAATTATTCAATGTTTCTTTCAAGGTGGCAAAGAATTCGGAGCCATCTGAAAGCTTGAATTCATCAGGAGGGTTGTTGTCGTTGTAATACACTTCTGCCTTAATCAAAAATTGAGAATGAGACATTTTTTTGAGATCTATTTTCTCTATAATAAATGCCCTTATTTATACAAATAGTGATGCATACTAGACCACACAAATGTGTTGGTGCAATCAGAACCATCCAAATATATTGACAAAATCTCAACCGTTCAAAAAACCATATTTTTCATACTACTGGAAATTTCATTGAAATTTCCGTATACAAAAAATTATAAATACAATACTAAAAATTTACGGTACCAAAAATTTCATAGAATTGTATCGAAAATTTAGATGGTACCAAAAATTTCAATCCATCAATCAAAAATTTTATCAAAAAATTATGTTAACTCAATCAAAAATTTTATCAAAAAATTATGTTAACTCAATCATAAATAAAAGTAGAATAAAAAAAAATTGAGAGGTGCCGTATATATTTCAGGGGCATGTTAAATTCTCCCAAAATCAAAATCCCTCCCTGTATCGTGCCCATAACCCCGCCGGCGTGTCTAAGCAGTGAAAGTGTAAAACTGCAGAAATTCGCTTTACATAGTTTCTACTACGTTTACTAGAATTGTTGCATCTTCTACCTTCACTTTTTTTATTATTCATTTCTCTAAACCCTAAACCAAACTTCTAGAATCTTCCACTACTTCACTCCCCTAAAAATGTCGGATTCAATTTTCAGAAACTTAAGAGACGGCGCTTTAGAAGGAGAACTCGCACCTAGTCTCACAATCAAAGACTCTATATCTTCACCTTTTTCCATCAACATTTTCTCTCACACTCTTCTCCAACTCTCATCACACCTCGCCGCACAAAAATCTCACACCGGTATCGTCATCGTCGCGCTTTCCCGGAGTCCGTCATTTTACACCGATTTGTTAAAGAATAAGGGACTGGAACTCGCATCTTCCAGCAAATGGTAGATATTTTTAATTTAGTGGTTTCAACTGTGTGGTTTGTAAATTGAAAATTTATGACATTTTTCACCTTTCAGTTGTTAATAATAAGATATGAAACTTTTGAACTAGCTAACTAGAGATAATGCAGTTTTGAAAACAATGTTTTGTTATTTGTTTTCAGAAATTTGTATAAAGTGTTCTATTATTATGTGTTACTTTGCAGGATTCATGTTTTGGATTGTTATACCGATCCTCTTGGTTGGAAAGATAAGACTAGGAAATCTGGAAATGTTAATGTTGCTTCCGAAAGAATTGCACTTGATGCTACTTCTTATAAATCAGTCAAGGATATGGATAAGTTGTTTTTGGCGATTACCGATCTCGGCCGAGGTATTGCTTGCTGTTATATTGTGAATTGGGTTTTTTTTATGCTGCTTAACGGTTTTGTGCTTTGAAACAAGAGCTGTTCTTTTTGTCTTTTTTTATATTTGGATGATTTTTTCAATTATTATACTTTCAGGTTTAGTTGGAGAAAGTAAATCCCGGTTCTGTGTTGCAATAGACTCGGTAATACGATTGATTTGACATAGCTTTGAACTTAGTTCTACTTATTGTGTTGGTTTGTTGTAGTTAATGTTGTTTGTTGCGTTGTGATTAGTGAATGTTATTTGCTTTTAGCACATAACCATATTTCATGGTTATGAAACTTATAAGTTTTTTCTTTTCCTTTCCAAGCTAACTCAAATAACCTTTTTGATGAAACTATCTTTTGAGATTTCCCTTTCCTTTCTGGATTTATCATCTTACCTTTGATATGTTGTAGTATTGCCACAAACTTGCATCATAGATTATTTATTTTCTTAAGAAAGTATTGTGTGGGAGTCTGGGTTTAAATTCTATGATTCATACTGCTTCTGTAGGTTAGTTTATTATATATTTTATAACTTTCTCTAAAAAGGTGCTAGAGACTTAGAGCTCTTTGATGCTGTTCTATCTTTGTTCTTTGTTCTTTTTTATTTGTTATTCTGATTAAGACTGTTCAGTTTCTTTGTTTCCCTAGTATTATCTATTTGTTTATATGTATCCTAATGGATTCTTTTTGGATATTATCAGATAAGTGAACTGTTGAGACATGCAACTTTGCAGTCAGTTGCAGGCCTTCTAAGCAATCTGCGCAGTCATGGTATTTTCTCTTGTACTATTTCGAACAAGGTTTCTTGCATAATATGTCTATTTTGTTGTTATTTAATTAAATACTTTAGAGTACCCGAAGTCTAGAATGGGTGTGAGAGTTGATTATTTTAGCGTATAATATTTGTTGGCTTGGGTAAACTTGATGCGGTAACAATACCCTCTCTTAATCCTTGCTGTAATATGCTTGCAGATCAAATCTCAAGTATATTTGGATTAGTGCATTCTGACCTTCATGAGGAGAAAGCTGCAGCTGCTCTTGAGTACATGTCTTCCATGGTTGCGAGTGTAGAACCAGATCATCATTCTTCAGAGACCTCCTTATCAGAGAAAAACTTTACCCAAGGGAAATTTAATGTCAGACTTAAACGCAGAAATGGACGTGTTAGAGTGATGGTTGGTGGTCTCTTTTTTTTTCTTCTGTTTGTGAATATGTATTGTAAAAACTAATCTTAAAAATTGGTGCACTGATGTAATATATCTTGTCTCTTATTCAGTGTGAAAAGTTTAAAGTAGAAGCCGGAGGAATCAGCTTTGCTTCTGTTTCAGCTGAAGATGGAACAACTGTTGCAGGCTTACTGCCAAAGGTCAGTGTTTAGTTTCTGCGAAGTCGCATCTCTTTCACTAGATGCAAAGGCCCAAGTTATATGCCTTGTTATATTAGAGATTTATAGTTAGATTTCTGACAAATTGATCGATAAAAGAGATCTTATTTTCGTTGAATCCCCTAATGAAATATAACTTATCATTCACACGGTGTTTTTTTTTAAGGAAATGAAAACTTTTTAGATGCTAGGTGTGCCTATTTGGTTGAACTGTCTATGTAAGGTATAGTTATTATGATAGCGAGGTATAAACTGTTTTGGAGAAACATCTCATATACTAATGCCATGCCTACACATGCTAAACACCTAGTTTGTTCATATATTCGTATTCGCACAGTAGAATATGCACGCATCCGCGTACACACAATTTCAAACAGTTCTAAGGTGAATGACAGAGACCGAACAAGAAATGGTTTGTGATATGAAGTTGATCGATTTTATGTTTTTATTAACAGGTACAATTTAATCTCCAGCTGTCAGAGAAGGAGCAAATTGACAGGGCAAAGGTTGTGCTTCCTTTTGAACACCAAGGTATGAAATAGACATGTATTTGCTTCATTTCTTATAGTGTTTCAATCATATATGTACTTTTATGCTTAAGCTCTTTTCTTTCTTTTAGGAAATGGTAGTCCCATACAAATTTATGATGGTAGAAAATCCCTTGAAGAGAGCAACAGTGAGGGGTCACCTCTTTCAAAGGGTGGTAAAAAGGAGGATTCTACTCTAGGTGAGATTATATATTTTCGTGATTCAGATGATGAGATGCCCGATTCTGATGAAGACCCAGATGATGATTTAGATATATAAATGTGCTTTTTTAGTGTCTTCTGTATCTCTAGGTGATGACTTAGATTAGGTTTATGATGAAGCAAAGTTTTATTAAGAAAAATCAGCCCGATATTGTTTAATTGCTCGTAAGTTAATAGTGTATCACATTACATCATATTGTACAGCTTACATATAGAAACATGATTTGTTTTTATTGATGTTGAGAACATTTCTGCCTAATGTGCTCATCTCTCCAAATTCACCAAAATTGTAAAAAATAGCTATTATTTTTTTTTAAACTAGAAAAGCTATTAGTTATCATTCCATTGTTGGATTGTTGTGATTTTTATGTTGTTTTCAAAATATCAGGTTTCGGCATTTATCATTTTCAGTTTGATTTCTACATAGCAAACATGTTAGTGCTATGTCTATGTCAGATTTGGCCCCCAAATTGTTTGGTGCATCCTAATAATAATAATAATGATGATAACTCTACGATTAACGTATATCACTTGTATAAATCTTTCTTAAACCTTACAACTTTATACAAATCCACAAACAAGCACATCAACCTTAGTAGTACTTGATTCAAACCAATATTCTTTGCCGACATGTCTTCTGCAGCAATTCTTTATTTCCTTCTCTTCACTTTCATATTCACATATCTTTTATTCAAACTTTTCTTACATCCAAAACAAAAAACCATAAATCATAAAAAGCCACCAGGTCCACCAACCCTGCCGATAATCGGCAACCTCCACATACTAGGCTCTCTTCCACATCGAAAACTTCAGACACTTTCCAAAAAATATGGTCCAATCATGTTCTTGCAACTTGGTCAAGTCCCAACTGTTATCATTTCATCTTCAAAAGCAGCAGAATTATTCCTCAAAACCCACGACATCGTTTTTGCAAGCCGACCAAAGATTCAAGCATCTGAGCTCATGGATTACGGTTCTGTCCTTATTGGCGAAGTATGAGGAAAATTTGCACTTTGAAACTTCTCAGTGCTTCCAAAATTGAGATGTTTGCCCCTATTAGAAAACAAGAGTTGGGTGTTTTGGTTAAATCTCTGGAGAAAGCTGCTTTGGTGGGTGAGGTTGTGAATGTTAGTGATGTTGTAGAGAATCTTGTTGAAAACATCATGTATAAGATGATATTAGGTAGAAGTAAGTATGAGCAATTTGACTTGAAGGGATTGGTTCAACAAGTAATGATTTTGATTGGAGCTTTTGATCTGGCTGATTATATTCCTTGGTTAGGGGTATTTGATCTTCAGGTTAGTATTAGATATTGATCAAGTTCTATGTTTAAGTGTGGTATGGTAATCGTGCAAATTTGTTCCCTCCAATTTTTACTAGATCAAAAACAAAAATTGATTTATTTTATAACAAATTGTGTTTTCAATTTTTATGTGCTTTCATGGTTTCCTTAAAAGAAGTGAAATATTCAATTAATAATTGACAATATTAAATTTTTTTTTTTAGGGATTAACACGAGCATTCAAGAAAACTAGTAAATCACTTGATGAAGTACTAGAGACGATATTAAGAGATCATGAACAAATTGATAATGTAGACACAATTCATAATGAAGACTTCATAGACACACTTCTATCAATTATGCACCAAACCAATGATCTGGAAAATGAACAAAATCATGTCATCGATCGAACCACCATCAAGGCAATTATACAAGACATAATTATGGCAGGAATTGACACATCTGCTGTCGTGATTGAGTGGACGTTATTTGAACTTTTAAGGAATTCAAGGGTGATGAAAAAGCTTCAAGATGAGATAGAAAATGAAGTAGGACATAATACAATGGTTGAAGAGAAAGATTTGAAGAAGTTAAGTTATTTAGATATGGTGGTCGATGAGATATTAAGACTTTATCCCGTTGGACCTTTACTAATCCCTCGTGAATGTAGAGAGAATATAACAATTGATGACTATTTTATAAAGCAAAAAACACAAGTTATAGTAAATGCATGGGCCATAGGGAGAGATCATGATGTTTGGTCACAAAATGCTGAAGAATTTTATCCCGAAAGATTTATTGACAAAAAAATGAATTTTTATGGACAAGAGTTTGAGTGTATACCATTTGGTTCTGGTCGGATAGGTTGTCCCGGAATTCAGCTGGGTTTGATTACGGTAAAATTGATTATAGCTCAATTAGTGCATTGTTTTAATTGGAAACTTCCAAATAATATTACTCCATCCAATTTGAACATGAAAGAGAAATTTGGACTCATTATACCTTGAGCTCAACATTTGCGGGCAATACCGAATTATTGTATGACAAATGATGAAAGATTTGAATAGCTTCAAGACAAACAATTGTATATTGTTGTACCCCAAAATTTGCCCTCTCATTTCATCAACATTTCTCATCACAAGACTCTTGGAACTCAAGATCAAGTTAGGGTTTGCTCTGCTCAAGACATCTCATCGCACTGTTGACCTAAATTAGAGTTTGAGTTTGCACAGGGATGTTTTGACCTACAATGCCCAAAGTGACTTTCATACTTCATGTTGGACTCACAAGTTTGTCCATACCAAGTTTCAAGTCTTGAATCAAAATTTTGCCCAGTCAATTGGACAGTTGACCTAAAAATCAGTTGTATTGGGAAAAAGTCAACTGTGGCCAATTGACAGTCAAACCTCATGAATTTTGACCCACATCAACATTATGAACTCATGTGAACCATTTGATCAAGTTTGGATCACAATTCCACAAGAAATTTGATCAAATCACCAAAAGGGTAAAATGGTCATTTCTAGGGTTTTGACTGTACACTGAAAAGTCAAACTTTGACTTTTTGGTCAAAATCAAGTGCCAACGGTCATTTTTCATCAAGACATGTCAAATTATGAAACTTGTTCATCAAGAAACCCAAAATTATAAATTAGGGTTTAAAATGGAAAAATTTCATAACTTAGAAATTTTCTAAGTTATAAAATTTTCTTATTTTTTTCTAACTTTGTCCCATTTTTTCACCAAGATGCAAATGGATTCAAAAAAAACTTACAACATGAAAGTTATAGTCCATCACAAAGTCCACAATTTTGATTCACAAAGTTTTCTCAAAAGAAGCTTGGATCTCAAGTTATGATTTTTGGAACAAGGGTACCTAAAACTTTTAACTTAGAGAAATTTTGCCCTAGTTTAGGCAGGATTTTGACCCATCTTCTTGGCCATTTTAAACATAGTTCCACTTGGATTATTAAGTTGAATTTCAAATATGGATTATAGTACATGTTGCAAGCTTTTCAAATTGTCCAAGAACTCCTCAAACACATTTGTGGTTAGAGAGAATCGAATGCTTGAAGTTGGCAAAAACTCATTTTGTAACCATGGCCAATACATGTTCATACCAAGTTGCAAATCTGACCAAACTAGCTTAGTACATAATTACATGCCTCTAAACCAATTTACACTAAAAAATTGAATGCAAATACATTGGTTATAGGCATTGTCCTGATCAAGGGAGCATTATACATTGAATAATTCCATTTTGGGCATAAAGATCACACTTCCATTTTCATAAAGCATAACTTTTGCAAAGTTGTTTTTCTTGAGCTTTGAACTTCTTTTTTTGCAGCAAACAAGTTCCACAAACTTAGGCAAAGGTACAAGAAGTTGGTGCATGCTTGGAGATAGCCTGTACAGGCCTATCTCATTTCACTTCAAACTTTGCTTTCAAAACAAGTCAAATGGCCAAAAGCTCATAACACACACATATCTGATATTGAACTCAAGAAAAAGTTTTCAAACAAGTTTCACACATCCTTGCAAGCCAGAAGCACGAGCCCTTGACCTCTCAAACCTCCTCATACTCAAAAACCACATTTTCTTGCAAAACAGGGCAAGCCCTGCAGAATCACTTCCATCTTCACTTTGCCTCGTGCGTTTTGCCTCAAAATTGTTCCAATACCTTCCATTCAACCCACTCAAACTATTCCAAACCTCCATTGCCAACTGTAACTCCATTTACAGTGTTCACCATTTTTGTTTGAAAGCTTTGCAGGTTGAGTTCTGTAGCACGATTCAGGCCACTTCAAAACAAACTAAGCATTGGGAAAGGTTCAGGGGACATCAAGCAAGCTCAAAAGAACCTCAGGCCCCATTGAAAGTTGTTGCATTGTCCAGCTCGAATTCAACTGAAACAGGTATTTCATGAACTCCTATCTCTCTATTTAGGAACATTTAGCCTTAGGTTTGTGAATGAAAGATGTTGTATTCATTGCCCTGAAACCATACATGTGCTTAGTTTTCATTTATATTAATCGTGCTAGGAGAATTTCATCCATGAACTTTCTGAAAAAACTAGGTTAGAAATTAGGGTCATAGAAATTCTCTCTGGTCTTTGAGAGTTAGATTTAATGTTTTATATGGTTGAAATCGTTGTTTGATGCTCTATAAGTTTCATGTTTTGAGCTTTGTCAAAGGATCACGTTTCCAGGAGTTGGCAGTTTGTACACAGAAGGCGCGTGTTTTTGTTTGAACAGAGGAAGAAGATGAAGTAGCTGGGCTGTGCCTGGCTATTTCCTACTTTTGACACCCCCATTTTCAGTTTCACACCCCCCTGACCCATTTCTTTATATATTTATTATTTTTGCATTTTAATTTCATTTCTGACTTTATTATTTTATTTTCAAATATAAAAAAATGCCTAAAAATATTTTCATAAATTTTTACATTTATTTGGTATTTTATTTTAGTTATTTCTAATATAAAAATGTTTAAATACTTTATATTATTTTGTTTAAACTTAAAAATAATGTAAAAAATACTTTTATTTTCATTTATTATTTTTATTCACATTTGAAAATATTTTCTTGAAATATATACATTTTTGTAAATAATTTATTTTATTTTTTACACATAAAATAAAAAAAAGCATATATATACTTTATTTTATTAAAAGCATAGAATAAAAAAAACACAAAAATAATACATTTTTATTTTTTACTAAAAAAAAACCTTTTTTTCAATATACTTTTATTTTTGTACATATTGATACATTTTTTGTATATAAATAATAAATAATACCATTTCTTTAAGGAATTAGGGTTTACCCTAAAAATATTTAAAATTAACTTTTTATTTTATTTATTTCTTTACATTTATTTCCATTTAAAGATACTTTACACACATAAAAAACTTTTTTTGCATAATACATTTTTTAAATATTTGTTCATTTTGTTTAAATATTGTACATTTAAATATTATGCCTTGCAAATTCAATTTGGTTGTAATAATTTAGAGTTTTAATTTCTTGCAAAATAACCCCCTATTCAAATTTGTATCCCCCTCCCTATATCAAAGTTGTAATAGCGTAGATTTATTTTTACGCATTTAAATGCTTTCAATTATGCCATGATTAGAATTAGGGTTTGTATGCAAAATCAAAACCAATAAATAGTTTGACCTAATCAAAGACAAAAAATGCATGAAAATCAAACACAATGCACACTTGAACCCCTAGGATTACAATCCACTTGTTGCCTTCAAAAATGGGCCATGGTATGCATGTCAAATACTTTGGCAAAACAAAAACAAAGCAAAAGATCATAGTCCCTCGATGACGCTATCTGAGTTGCCTAAACAAAATGATCAAGTCCCTCAAGAAAATTGCCAAAAATACTTGACACTATTGCTATCATGGTCTATACGATGACTCGCACCTGTCCCGTTTAACATCCTAACACAAGGTTGTTCACCAAACACAATGGTAAAACAACATTGTTAAAAGGGTTAAAAAGATAAGAAAGATCTTTGAGTAAAATAGGGTAGATAACTCTTAGTTATTTGATCAAAAAGCTTGCAAAAACATCCTTGCTATTTTCAAACACACTTCACAAACACAATTTCAAAACCCTACTTTCAAACATTGAAAACTCTTCAAAAGACAAAAACACCTTTGTATACATTCAAACAAGAATCATTACAAAGGTTGCCACAACGATGGCCTCTTTTCAAAACATCTTTCAAAACCACACACAAAGCACCATTTCAAACAATTGAAGAGCACCATTTCAAACAATTGAGAAGCAAAGCAAGTGATCTAAACAAGTAACTAAGAGCCCATGGATAACCATGGATAGAAAGGGTGCTAATACCTTCCCTTTCTATAATCTACTCCCCGAACCCAAGAAAACATCTCAAAGGTCTTTCCTGTGCTTTTTGACCTTTCCTTAGGATAAAATAAAAAGTCGGTGGCGACTCTTGCTAAACCGAAACATTTGCAAACACAAAACGCAAAACCTCAAGTCAGTTCTCCCACCGTATCATATATATTATCATAAATAAATCGTGTCAAATTTTAAGTTGTTTTACCATATGTTACAATATATCAATTGATATTTAATTCTGAGTAGTTATTTGTAACAGTTGTTAGAGAAAATATCTCTAACCAACTTAAGGCCAACAAACCTATAATTGTACACGATCCATACTTTTATGAGATAAGAGTTGAATAAATAATTCTTCAGTTTAATATTTTTTATAGTTTTTATTATGATTCCAGTATCATGAGTGAAAAAGATTTTGTGAAGACCTGTCAACATGGTATCATAGAGTAAGACTATTTTGATATCCCCTATCTTATTTATCCATTCACATTTCGATTGGATTCTCAAATTTCATTCTTATTCTCAATTCTTTTTCCAGCATGTTCTTTGATCAAATTGACTCACTTGATCACCAATCCCAAGCCCCACCTCGGGAAATGCAAGAGAATCGCCGAATGCGATATACATATCAACATTCTACTACTACAAATGCTGAAAACAATGAGCAAGTATAGAAACTAAAAATGGTAGTTGACATAATTCAATGCACCAAGTTGCAGAAAGTAGAAAAATTCAAAAGGCACATTTTCCATCTCATTAAAATCAAGTGATTTGTTTCTTTCCTAAAACAAATTGTAAAGGCTCTCATGTCTAAAACAGATATCACACAGTAGCTGATGAAGCCGATGGTCTGATATGAAGATACAAACTTCACAGGGTAAAAGAGAAAGCTTCAGAGTTATAACAATTCGTAAATAACGATAATGACAAACCAAAGATAAGTGAAACGTTTCAAAGTGAATAACACTTGAATCATCGAGGTAAAAAATTTCCATTAAAATAATAAATATTTTTAAATCCAAGGCACAAAAGTCTGGGAAATATTGCAAGAAATCAAAGTAGTACAAAATAAAAAGAAAGTCAAGTTGGAGCACCTGAAGTAGACGCACATGGACCACCTCCCTAAGTCACCCCAGGAATGGACTTAAACAATATACTAGTAAAAAGTACAGGTATGCATGTTACCCCTTCAAGAGAAGCGGTACTCTAAGGCCTTAGTAGGTTTATATTAGTTTGAGATGGTCAGGGCTTGCACACAACGACAAGACGGTCTGTATGGTGGTGTTACGAATGTTTTAGAGGACTTGCTTACATGAGGTGAGAGACTCTGTATATTAACATAGTGCTTTTGAGTATTATGCGTAAATTATGATCTCTCCTCTCTCCCATTAGGGGAGAATTATTTATAGAGGTATTGGGCCTACGATTTTCTTAGGAAGTGACATTTATTTCCTAGGGAGACGTGGACCATCTACTGACCCTGACTTCTCTCTGCCCAATAAACTTCTTATCCTAAGTTTCACATGAATGGGCGGGAGGAAAGCCTTGGACCGAGGCAATAAAGACTGTAAGTACGAAGTGCGCCTAAGAGGGGGGTGAATTAGGTACTTTAATTTTTTTTCTTCTGGTTTTAGTGATGATGAATATTATTTTTCTAGTTTAGTGCATGAGTTTATATATGTGCTTCTTTCTTTTCTGGTTTATGACTAGTGATGAAAGCGGTAAATGCGGAAAAGTAAAGAACACAAAGATGTATCCTGATTCCCCTCACAGTCAGAGAGTACTCCAGCCCCCTTTCAACATGAAAGAGATTTCCTTATTGTTAGATCTCTAGACAAGACACCCTAGTCCTTCTATACAAGACTCTAACCAATAAAATCACCAAGAATAATCCTCTTGAACCAAGAACAATCCTCTTGGATTTTCACTATGTCAACAATGAGAACAATCCTCTCAAGGTGACCTTACTTGTATCTAACAATCCTGGAAAAATAAGATTACAAAACCACTTGAACTTATTTTCAACAATCCTGAAAAATAAGAAAGTGTACAACAATATTTGATTGATAGAGTTTGTAGTGCAATAATCACTTTGAGTGATTTTATTAATGACTTGATCTTCTCTTCTAATAACAATAATATACAATGACTCAAGACTATAGAATGCTCAAAGTTTTCTGTTTAACAATATATGAAAATGTGTAGAAAAACTTTGTGTATAAAAGTAAAGAAAAATCATGAGTTTTAATATTTTAAAATTCAGAAACTATTGATTGGAAGAAATACAAAATGATTTTGAAAATTCAGTATTTATATGTTCATAGCACCTCTTTGAAACAACATAAATTTCTGCAAATGAATCATGAACAATTGCCAAGATTCAATGAAAAGTTTCCATGAAATGGTGTTATGAAAAGGTATGTTCGAAGCTGCTGATTTTCAAAAATGTTCAGCATGCAATCAATTGCACCCTTGTGTAAATCGATTGCACGAGTTTTAACAGCTAAAAAATTCAAATTTTTTCAGTGAACAATCGATTGCACACGTGTGTAAATCGATTTCACTTTAAAACAATAACAAAATTTGATAGAGAGCAATCGATTGCACAAACATGCAAATCGATTGCACTTAGAAACAGTAGCTAACATTTTGAAAATGTGAAGCATGCAATCGATTGCACCAACATGCAAATCGATTACACATAAGTGAAAATTGATTTTTTTCTTAGAAAACTTGAGAAAAAGTTTGGACGAGATAAAAATACTTCTTTTGATCATTGAGCATCTAAGACTTAAGTTCAAAGTAAGTATTATCATTATACATTGTAAAATTTGCTAAGAACTTGAGACAAAGTTGTTGCACCCCAAAATTTGCCCTCTCATTTCTCAAGGGATCACCCTGGATCCTCAAGTTTTCCTTCATCAAGTCTCCAGGCCTTGAATTACCAATTTTTCCAAGCAAACCATTCACAAGGGCAAAATGGTCATTTGCACGCTGAAGAAGTATGACTTTGACTTTTGGATCAAAATCAAATCAGAAAAATCAT